GTGAGGGGAAGGCTTCCCCTCCAGCTCCTGGCTCTCCCGGGGCCTGGGCCCGGCCCCACCGCGCCCCCACCCCCCGGGTCCCCATTCATTTCCTGCCTCCCCGAGTTCCGGCTCCCGCAGCCCTGGGGATGCCGGTCGGGACGGGGGCAGGTAGAGCCGCCGCGGGAGCCGCGGACGCCAGCGGCCCGGCTCGGCGCCGCATTCCTGACCCATTGCCTCATGAGAATTGCCTCATGGTGATTCCGAAATAACCCCGCTCGCTCGGGGAGGCTCCCGGGCCCGGGCCGCCGGAGGGAAGGGGAGGGAGTTGCGCGGGGCCGGGCCCTGGACGGCGGAGCTGCTCGAGGTCACTGCCTCGCGCGCGCGTTTGGGGGGAGGGGTGGGGGCTTCGCTCGGGACCCCTGACCCCTTTATAGGCGTCTTTGCATCACCCCCTCCCCCTCTCACGTGCCAGAAATGGAAAAACTGACTGTATCTGCAGCTATTAGAAGTATTTCCTTCCTCAGCGATCTTCGCTTTGGAGAGACGGGAGGGCAGGGAGCTGTATCTCTAGTTATTTAATCTTTCACCACAACCTTAAAAGTCAGGTAACATGAATCACTCCCCCCACCCCCGTTTTACAGATGTGGACACTGAGGCGCAGACGGAACATGCTAATAAGTCACAGGATCTGAACCTAAGAGTGAGGAGGAGGATTCGTGAATTAATGAGATCCTTTGAGAGTTCAGGGTAGTACTAATAGCTGACATTTATTAAGCTCTTACTGTAAGCCAGGCAGATCTAATCTTCACTATAACCCAAGAGCTAGATACTATTAGCCCCTTTTTAAAGATGAGTAAACTGAGTTTCAGAAGTTAGGCAACTTGCCTGAGGTCACTCAGCCCGTAAGTGGTGGAGCCAGAATCTCCACTGTTAATCACCATGTTGCTCTTACTGTTTTATAACTGTTGCCAGTCATTTTTAAGCCTTAATTTTATTGCTAAACCATGGTGTGACCTATTGTGTTCAGATGGTGATCCTGCTATTTTGTATCGCCACTCTTTTGTATACAGCTCACATGTAAGACTCATTGTTTAGTCTTGACTGTCCCGGTATGGTCAGTGTCTTAGGTATTTGAAAAACTGTTTCAAGCTGTTGGGGTTATTTGAGTGAGAGACTTCAAAATATTGGGAATGTCTTCTCAAAATACACCTGTGCATTATTCATTGGTGGATCTGGAACGGAAACTGGAAGCTTTAGGAAGTGGCTTGGACAGGTCCGTTGGCAAGTGCTTACAGATCTGGGTAGTATATAACTGCATTTCAACAGAACATTGTGTAGCCTCAAATGTTGTAATTCTTTAGGGAGCTTTTTAAATAAAGCAGTTGTCTATTTAATCTGTCAAATAGTCATTGAGCTTTTTGTTCCTTGTGTCTGCTCTTCCAGACAAGTGAGGATCTGCTTCTTTAGGAGACAAAAGGCTGGGGGCTGGGGGTGGGGAAGGGGCAGGGTAGTAATAGACCCTACTTTGTCCAGCTTGTTAGTTTAGAAGCAGGGAAGTGTGGGTATAGCCAAAGCAGCAAGTGATAAAGATGACAGTTTGAAATGGAGTAATTCCTCCTTTCTCCCAGCCCTCCCTGTTATAAAAAAGGAATGTCTGCCACCTAAAAAGGGAGGTTATGAGGGTGACACACATAATTGAGAATAATTATTTTTCAGATTGTAGGTCTGTTTTATTATTATTATTATTATTTATTAATCCTCGCCCTAGGATATGTTTTACTGATTTTAGAGAGGGAAGGGGGAGAGACAGACAGGCATTGATGTATGAGAGTAACATCCATCAGTTGCTTTCTGTATTGGCTCCCACTGAGGGTCAAACCCGAAACCTGGGTATGTGCCCTGACCAGGAATCGAACTGGCAACCTTCCTGTGCCCGGGGCTACGCTCTGACCAACTGGGCCACACTGGCCAGGGCCTGTTTTATTATTTTTAACCAGCTTTATTGAGGTATAAATGACATGCAATAAGTTGCATATATTTAAGTGTACAGTTTGATAAGTTTCGACTTGAGAACACACTTGTGAAACCATCACCACAGTCAAGGTAATAAATGTACCTATCACTGCTTGAGATGGTTCCTCGTGTCCTTTATAATCCCTTCCTCTTCAGGCGCCCACTATTCCACTTTGTGTCCCTGTGCATTTCCTAGAATTTTACAGGAATGGAATTTTATATCTGGCTTTTTATGCTTGGCATAATTATGTTGAGATTTATCCACGTTGTAGTATGTGTCAGATAGTTCATTACTTTATTGCTTAGTAATTTTCCGCTGTACGGATGTACCGCCAGTCGTTTATGTTTCCCGCGTTTGGTTATCACAAACAAAGCTGCTCCGGTTGTTCATGTACAGGAGTTTGTATGGACGTATGCTTTCATGTCTCTTCAGTAAACACCTATCAGTGGTATGGCTGCATCAGAGTAGATGAATATTTAACTTTTCTAGAAATTGCCAAGCTGTTTTTCAAAGTGGTTCTACCATTTGCATTCCCACCAGCAGTGTATATGAGTTACAGTTCTTCCATGTGCTTGTCGGCACTTGGTACTATCGCTTTTAAAATTTGAGCCATTTTAGTGGGTGTGTCATGGTATCTCACTGAAGTTTTAATTTGTATTTTCCTTGGCAACTAATCATGCCGATCCTCTTTCCATGCGCTTATTTACTGTCTGTGTATCTTCTTCAGTGACATATTCAGTTGATCAGATATTTTCCCTCTTTTTTACTTAGTTGTTTGTTTTCTTAGTATTGAGACCTGAGAGTTCTTTATTCTGGCTACAAATCTTTTTATCAGAATTGCAAATATTTTCCTCTTAGTCTGTGGCTTGTCTTTTCATTTTTTCTTTTAAACAGTGTCTTTTGAAGAACAGAGGTTTTTAATTTGGATGAAGTCCTGTGTATCTTTTTTTTTTTTTTTTTTTTTTTGGAAAA